GACAATGTGACTCTTTGGGAAGTCACCCTCCCTTGTGCGGATTCCGTCCCCCCGAAACTCCTCCTCCATTGATCCGCTGCAGTGGAATCTACTCTGCTCAAGGTTCACAACATGGAAGTCAAAAAACAACCCTGTTTGAGAGGAATCTCCCTTTTGCGACCCTTGTCTTGAAAACACCTTCGGAAATCAGCCTGGACACAACAGTTCAGCATGTGTTCCTACATTTCCACCAACTCTTTGTCTGCAAGGCAAGGGTGGGCACATCATCATCATCATCATCAGCATCATATGTAAGCAGCCTCATTTGTTCATGCCGCTCATGGCTGCAGTTTTAGCTCCATTTCAGCCCGTGCTCCATTTCAGCCTTCCGGCGGCGGCGGCGCTGGGCAGCATTGGTCCGGCCCCATCCACCACCCACCACATCCATCCATCCATCCATCCATCCATCCATCCATCCATCCATCCATCCATCCATCCATCCATCCATCCATCCATCCATCCCATCCCTCCACTCAACCCATGCTTGCTTGATGTTTGGCTCCTTCCCTTTCAATTTGCACCCATCTCTCAGTCTCAATCCTATAATTTCCGACACCGTGTTTTGTCTTTCTAGAGAGAATGTTTCCGAGGAACTCTTCCAACACTTGTTATATTTCCAACCTGAAACAAGGGGCCTCTACAGGATCTTTACCCCGGGCGAGCTCGCCAAACTCCGCCCTTCGCCTCTTGCCACCGATAGCGCCAGAGCCAGCGGCGCCAGCGCCTCATTGTCGGCGGAAGAACCCCACTTCCGGCCCAAGATTGTAGCGCCAGGGAACAAACCACTACGTGGGGTGGTGGTGGGGGAGGGTCGGGGGGCGGTGGGTTGATGGGCGGGGTGGGTGGTGGGTCACCTGCGGTTCAGCATCAGAAGATCTCAAAAGTCTCCATTTGTTTCAACCCGGCCCAGAACTAAGCTCTGAGCCAGCTTCGGGGCCCGAGGACTGCTTCCACCTGAAACAAGCAGCACGCTAGCGCGCGCAAACCTGGGCGCCCAAAGGCCCAGCCGAGCAAACGCACCGCGAGTCGGCAGCGGAGCGGCGAAGCCCTGGGAGGACGCGTCGCCGCCCTTTGCAGCGACGGCAACCCTGTGCCACCAACCCCTTCACATACTCCATGTGTTGGAGGGCTCTTGGCAGGAGGTCTGGTAAGGTCTGCTCTTCTTCTTCGTCAGCCTTCACTCGCGCTTCCACCCTGCCACCACAAGCCTTCTCCAAGGAACCCATCAATTTGGAGGTATCAAGATTGAGGCCAGGGCAAAGAACGGCATCCCGAAGCCGTTCACCTCGCGAAGTGCGAGGCGCAACGTGGCGAAGCGCGCAGGCTGAGGCGGCGGCCCAAGTAGTGCGCCACGGGCGCCGCTCTTGCAGGCCGCGGCGCGCTTGAGCAAGCCAGAGTTGCGGGCTGGGAGCAAAGGTGGGGGCGGCGGGTGCCTTATTGCCTAATCATGTCAACTTTCAAAACCTCATCAGATCAAACCAACATTTTGCCATGTCCAAACATGATGCCAAACATGTCACATCATGTCACATCACATTTGGCTCCACTGGTCCTGCTGGCCTGTGGCTTCGGCGGTGGTCGGGCCTTTTGCGCTGGCGGTCGGGCCTTTTGCGTTGGTGGCTTCGGCGGTGGTTGGGCCTTTTGCGCTGCTGCCCGAGCTTGGCTTTTTGAGAAGCACTCTTGTGGCTGTGCCTTTGGTGTCACCTCCTCACACTCAACTTGTTGCAAGGAGACAGAGGGACTGACCGCTCCAAAGCCAACCTTTTTCACTTTGAGCTGTTATTGCCCAGCCTCTAAACATTGAAGCTGGAACCAAAAACATGTCGAACATTAAACCAACGTGGCACTTGACCGTTCGAGTTCAAATTGAATTCGCGAGCTCTGAGGGACCAGGCAAACATTTGAGGAACTTTCAATCCTACAAAAGCGCATACGTGCATCACATGACGGCCTGTTTCGGCCGCGAACCTTCGAAACGTTCCAAATTTCGAATCGTTCCAGCGATTGAAACTTTCCAAGCGTTCATGACACTAGAGAACGATTGGCCCGAAAGCGCGGTTTCCCACGCGCATGGTTTGGCTGCGCGAGGCTGGTCGATCGACATGTTGGCAAGCTGACGCGTCGGATTTCTCCTTGCAAGTGCTCTCTGAAAGTTGGCATATCGAATTTGCGCTGCGATTGGCTCTGTACAAGTTGCTGCGCAAGTCTGTCTGAGCAAACGTGCAAGTTGCTCCGCCCAAGTTGCTCTGTGGAAGTTGCTTTGTCCTGCGCAAGTTCCCTCTCTGCCAAGAACTCTGCGCAAGCGCTCTGCACAGGTTGCTCTCTGCAAGTTTCTCTGTCGATGATACTCCGCCCAAGTTTCTTTTGGTAAGTTCCCCGCGCAAGTAGCTCTGCCGAACTTCTCCGCGCAAGTTTCTTTCGCAAATTCTCTGCGCAAACGGACGGGCGGGCGGGCGGGCGGGTAGGTGGGCGGGTGGGTGGGTGGAAACAAAGAAAGAGAGAGAGAGAGAGAGAGCTTGCCGCGGGCCCAGCAAAGATATAGTATCCCTGTTGAAATAAGGGGCGGGCGGGCGGGCGGGCGGGCGGGGCGGGCGGGCGGGCGGGCGGGTGGGTGTGGGTGGGTGTGTGGGTGGGGGTGGGAGTGGGGGTGGGGGTGTGGGGGTGGGTGTGGGTGTGGGTGCGGGTAGTTGGATTGGATTGGATTAGAATGGGCTAGACGAGACCAAACTGGACTAGACGAGATTAGATTAGTGCTAGGATTGGAGTAGATGAGATAGGATGGATAGATGTGCGTGCGGATGGGTTCGTCTAATGTGAGGGGTGGGCACTCCGAAAACAAGACCAACAGGGTACCCTCACAAAACACGCACCTACATGCCTGCATCATGATATTTGTTTATACATGTAGATGTATCACGTGTAGACAGGGTCACCATGATGCAAACACACATGCATTGTACAACCTGAATGCGTTCTAAACAAGCGGACCGCCCCTCCCCCTCCCCCCGGATCGTTGCATTGCGTCAACTTTCCTTGACAAGCCTCCGCAAGAAGTGTCACAAAATATATGATATGCCGATACCTCTACATTTGTCCCATATCACGGCCACTTATCATCTCTCACCGGATTCGCGCCATTAGCAATGAGCGTGGTGAGCAATGTTTTTCAAGCCTCGCGCCTTTCGGGGGCGTAAGCTTCATGTGACTAAACTAGGGACGTTTCCCGCTTTGTGATGTTCGTCCATTGATTATTTGCAAAGCCCGCCCAATCAAAGGGCGCACTATCAAACGAAATCCAGTTGAGCATTTGCAATGGCAGCCAAGAAAGTTGAGCGCCGAGCCCAAGCGATCATCGCTACAGGTGCCGCATGCCGCGTTCGCGGGTGCACAACTGCATGCAAGAGTCTGGCGCAAAGCAGGATGTGAGAATCTGAGTATATCTGAGTACTGGGCTCTGAGAAGTGCTCGTTTTTTGTCGCGGAGGTCTGCAAGAACTACCGTTTCTTGCAGATTCGGGGTGTCAGAATGATGCTGAACAGCGGGTGGCTGGTGAACAAATAACCACACGATCAAGAACAGCATCTTCACGTTGATGTACTATACTTTGTCGACCCGGTTTCAAGCCACACGTATGTTCCCCAAAACTCACTTGCAATTTCATTCGGGCCAAACCGACTTATCCCGGCCAAGGCTACAAGGCAATCACCCACCAAACGCGCTGGCGCGGGGCGCGTTTGAAGAAGGCCCCAAAGCCTTGAGCCGAGCGGATCGATCCCGGAACAGCGATGCCCAGAGATTGGGTGTTTGACAGCTTGATGGATTGGCCCGATCCCACATCACCAATCCATGAGATTAAGTTCAAGCTCCCCTTGTAAAAAAGAGAGTGAGTCTCTCACTTCAGCCGCAGCTTCAGCCGTGTCATCTTGTTTTCCACACAGGAAGCTCTTTGAATGGCGATGAACCTGAATTTATGATCCTTCCGAAGAGTAAAATGTAAAGGGGTCTGGGCAACCCCCAAGCGAACCGACTTCTACAGTCTTTTTGCAAAGGTCCGAGAGGTCGGCTGTAAGCAGAAAAAGCTTGAAGTGCTAAGTGTTCGGCGCGTTGCCCATTGAGAAGTGCACCCAAAACCTAGTGTCAAAATTGTTCAAACGGTGCATTACAACGGCTAGAGCCCAGTTGCTATGACTTCGTATTCCCCCAATCTTCCAGACAAGTCCAGCTCTTCAATTTCCACTCGCCAGTCACCCCAAAACATTCAGTCTAGTTTTGGCGCTCACCCGACTTGTGCAGTCATGTCATGTGCAGTCCCCCAATCAAGTAGGGTCCCCCAGTTCCCATTGTTTCTCATCTCCTTCCAAAAGGGGAACATGGAAAATGGAATTTGGGCGTGGGTCAAAAATAGGTACCCAAAGTGAAACCCTGGCAAATGGAAACATGGACTAAAACCAGCGATACCCCGATACCTATTTCGGAACCAACCTACCCCCCCGCCCAGTTTCAATTTGGAGGGGGTAAACCACTTCCCGCGCTCCAGGCCCGAATCTGCGGGCCACTGCCGCCTTTTTGACTGCATGACGCAGAGAGAGTCCTGGTTTATGTTGATGCAATTCGGTCGGAGGCTGACCAAAGATTTTGTTTGTGATTCGGCCAGCCCAAGCAAGTGTGCAAAGGTCTTGCTTGACAGCTGAGCTACCACTGAGCAGCAAGTTTACGCATGCAGAGCAAGTATCTGACAGGGTAAAGCGAGCGATGCAAATGAAGCAGCCGGAATTGATGCCTGGAATCAGATTCCTGTGGAACTCCTGCTTTGGAAGGCAGATTTTCTCCGCAAATTCTTCCCTTATCACTTTGGGCGAAGCATGCGATCTGCCCTGAGCTCCGATTTCCAGCACCAGGTTCCGGGATCAATGAACCCTCTATATCAGAAAGCTCCCCTAAAGGCCTGCCCAGGGAACCCCTTCACCCCTTGCCTCTTATAGAGGAAAACGGGTCTTCCGTGGACCAGTCAGCCAACTTTCCATGGACGCTGGGAGGTTGAATCCCTCAGGTTCTACACTCTTCGTCTCATCCGACTCATTGTCCGAGCCGCAGATGGAACTAGACCAAACAGGCCATAGTGAAGATCGGAACCCGTCTAAACCTTGCTGCAACGACCCCGCCTGCAACAAGTGGATCACTTTTTGGGGGTTTAGTGGGAAACCCCTTCAGAGAGATTTTAAAAGTTAAAAAGTGTTTAACTGTTTGGGGGTTTAGTGGGAAACCCAACTTGAGTTCAACCAAAAAGTTGAAGTCTAAAGATTCAACCCAATAGTCGAGTAAAGGGGGTTCAAACCCCGAGAGGAGAGAGAGAAGAGGATTTAGTTTTCTACACGTCAAAAAGCATTCAGCGATTCCCGTTAGGTGTAAGCGGTTTCCTAAACCTTCGGGATGTTCAACTTTCCTCTCAAGGATTACAGATGGTGAACCTTGTTCGATTTCACACGGTTCGAACGGTAGGTCAAAGCCTTCCTTCGCTCAGCCTCGCACCCCAACGCCTGGCGCTAGGGGGCCATCCGCATCGCCAGGTGCAGTCTTTGCTCGAACTCGGGCAGAATCGCCGATTGGACTCAAACATCGGTGTCCTTTGGATATCCCAGATTGATCCGTCGTACTTCTGTTTGGGGTAAAATCGGCTAACGGAAACGCCGTTGGTTGACTTGAGGAACATCCAAATAAGAGGGGTCTCAAATCAGGAAATGCTCATACACAGACAGGCCAAGGTAGGGATGTCTGGTTTTCGCGGCCCGCTTTGGGGATAGTCCAAAGTTTGGTAGAGAAAACCAATGATTCCGTTTGCAGGGCCCCCCTCAACAACAGAACTTCAAACACAGACTGAACAACATGCCAAGACCCTTCTTTCCAAGGAATCAGCTTGGCAAACTCCAACAGCAAGCAAAACCGCGATATGGATGATGTTTGAAGAAACTAGTTGCGCTATGACTGTAGAGGCCATGGGAAAACAAAAGGCAGTCGTTTCTTGGTTTGGTACCAGTAGTTCATTTTCAAGGGACCCTCCCGCCAAAACAAAAGGCAAAATGGGCTCCACTGGAGGTTGGGAATGTGAGCTGCGAGTTTCGGAGCGAGCCGGTGTCCAAAAAGGGGAATCAGGCGGGAGAAAAGAAAGCAATCTGGCCATGGGTCAAAACCCTGTACCCTCAGTGAACATCCCAATCCCCACTAAAATAGACTAACATGGGTGGTGAATTCACCTGCCCCAAAATGGTACCCTTGGTTTTGACCCACAGCCATATAAGCAAAGGCTTGTAAACTACGCAGCTGAAGAAGTCTAGAAGTCTTGACGAAGTCTAAATTGCAGGCCAGGCGATTTTTGGAAATCAAATATGAAAAACCCGCTCTGTTGGCCGTTTCACGATGCTCAAGTAATGCTTTTGCCTGAGATTGGAGATGTGTTTCTTGCCTTGCATCTCACCAGGGGGAAGTTCCCAACTCCATTTGATCAGCGGGGAGTGAACCTCTGTCGCGGAGACCGCCGGAAGGGATTGTCTGCACCTGGCAACCCTGCCATTCAGGGACGGGGAGAGAAATCTGGGCAAATGGCTATGGTCAAATATATGTACCTAAAATGGAACCCTGGCAAATGGAACCAAGGACTAAACCCTGCTGTCCCCTGGTGGTTTAATTTCGTTTACCAATCAGCGAGGTTCTCGTTCCTTTTTATCATTTGCCCGGATTCTCAAACAGAAACCTTCCCCACGCGACTCGGAGCCAAAGACTCTCCTTTCGCAGGGGTAAATTCGCCTCAACTCGAAGAGTGCACGCACATAGCACTGTCTACGGGTGAAGAGCTGGAAGCCTTGGCCGAAAGAAAGGTCACCAGCTCTTTGGAGTTCATAAGGGAACTTCAACCCCTTCAGGTTGGCTTCCTTCCCTTTGACACCATCCCAACTGGGTGTGTCGGTGTGTCTTTTTTGAGTCCCCAACATGGAAACATGGGAGGGGGGTCAGGGCAATCATGGATTCCTGGATACCAAGCACCAGCCCCGATTCGAAGCGTGCCAAAAAGGGGGAACCCGGACATACCCCGGAGCTTCCGAAAAAGGGTCCTCACCATCCCCACGAAAAACCAGCAGAACAACATGAGCCCCAAGCCCCGACGTTTTGCCCAACTCCACCCGTCACCCGTCCGGTCGAAGGGATTGGCAGGGTCACGCCCAAGCGAGCGGAAGCATCGAAGCATCCGAACCCCAAAGACGGCTCCTACGTTGCGTTTGGGTCAAGATGATCGCTCTGTGCTTTCCGTCTCTTGTCGTGCCCTGCGTCTCCGTGCGCTCACAACATTCCACTGCACGGCATGGCCGTAATTTGAGATACCGTGCCCTCGCAGCCTGGATGTTCTTCTTTTTTACCCATGGACACCATGGCTAATTGGGGACCCCGTTCGGTTGGGATTTATGTCCAACCATGTGTCCAACCATGTTTGAAGGGGTTACCATCCAAGTTCTTTGCCATGGCCAAGGACAGCTTCAAGGGAAGTCGTGTGCAGTCCTACCACTTGAGTGGTTCTCAAAATGGTGGACGCTACTGCCGGTGGCATGTCAAATGGGAAATCAAGGGATGCTGATGTTGAGAAACCTCCACTTGGGTTCAACATAGCACCTGTACTGACTGCCTAATTCGCCTTGGCGTTGTCAAAGAACAAAGGGGGTCGAAAGTAGGAAGTTTGGCCATCACACGCCCTTTGACGCCAAACAGGTCGTGGCGAAGTGAATGCCATTCCCCTAAAACAACCTTGCTTCAGCAACCCTTCAGCTTCCGCCTAATTGGTGGCTTGGTGGTTTGGTGGTTCAGGAGGGCTTTGCCATGAACCCCAGACCAGAATTCCAACTCAGGGTTGCCTGATTGTTCGGCAGTCCCAAACAAAAACATAAATCTCGCGTTCGACACCTGGAACCAGATCGGCCAATCCACTCCCATGGAATCTTGTGAGCACCGTGCACTGTGCCAAAGCTTTGGCGCCGGAGCTTGCGACGAGGTCCTAGACCTGAGCCAAAGGGATCCAAAGGTCCGCTGAACATGGGATGACATTTTGAGGAAACAGGCGGTAAAGAAATGATAGGTCCTACTAAATGGGAAAAGTGACCCGTGGTCATTTGGGGGCGCAAACGAAATAGTGATCAACCCCCGTTTTGATGGTTTAAACTGTTTAAACTGATCTTTTTCGATAGCATTCGGAGCCAGTTTGAGGGCGCCTGACTTTTTGAGGGTACCTAGGGTTGGATTGAAGGGAAACCAAAGGGAACGCCCATTTTAGTACCCCTGTGACACGAATGAACGCGAAAAGTGCCCCGTG